CACCTACCGGGGTATATTAGAATAACATTACTTCAATTAAGACTCATTAAGGATTAGCCCCCATACAAGCTCGTCTATAGTGCATTAAGGATTAGCCCCCATACAAGCTCATCTATAGTGACACCCTAATCTCTTTCAAAGCATCCAGTAAATATGTCAACAAGATTAGTGCCAGTCCAACAGGATAAACAGGATTTAGTATTCCCCTCTGTCTAGCCAGCCATTTAGCTTAGGACACAACCAATCGTGTATCATCCAATCACATTCCATTTTATTGTTTAAATTTTTGTTAAATACATACTGTAGGCAGGTTTTAAGCAGAGAAGGGGTTTGACTCTCTTACCAAGCAGACCTCTCTCCCACAGCCCAGAGTGTGTACCGACTCTCTGTGGCACCCTCAGTTATTATCTAAGTATCTTGTAAATTGTTAATTGTTCTTGTAAATAAAATTGTGATTAGTCTCCTGTGACTCTGGCTCTTTGCTGACTAATTCCCCAAGAAAACCAGCACGTCATTTGGAAGGTATTGTTCACCCAGAACAGTTCCATGATACTTCACTTGAACATATAACAGGCATTGAACGCATATAAGCAGGGCAACTTGGTAAGCAAACATGAGGTGGGCATCCGTAAAGAAAACAAAGCAAGCTTTGCAAGGCTTTCGCTCTACATCGCGCGTCACCTTTATGACGTCATGCCGCTCATTGTGACGCAAAAGATATGACGTCACAGTCATATATAGAAAAGCGCCAAAATTCCAAGCTCTCTGTTGTCTCCAAAACGTAAATACATTCCCTTTGTTGATTTCTGTCGTGTTTTTCTGCACAAAATGTATTGCCACACATCCTTTGTATATTGTATTAACCGCATCTGTGCATTTTGTAACCTGTAATTGCAGATATAATTATTTAAATACGCCTACCGACAATGACTGAAAATAGTACCATTCTACGAATATTAGCTTCCGCGGTGAAGCGGCCTTCAAACCAGCTGTTTCAATCAGAGGGGGTTTATTGTGATTTAATAGCCTCTGATTGACCAATCAGAATCGGGTAAATTCCAAATTCATGGTAGAATTGCCCATAATCAAGGGTGCATATAACACACGAGTGCGTATTATACGTGAATAAATAAGTCTTGTATACATTGATCAGTCGGAAAGGGATTGTTCACAATTGTTCACAATATATTAGCAAATATCGCCGTGGGCGCTTATTAGAGCGGGGCGCTTACTACGTTGAATATGGTAGTACTTAGGCCTAACAGCAAGTTGATAACAGATGATAGCTTACAAAATGTTATGTCGGTTGGAACACTAGCAGTGTATTTGCATGCTATTGCAATGACTTTTTCTTGTCAAGTTGTCAGTTAAAGAGAGCGAGAGTCTTTTCTTGTTGACTATTAGTACAACGTATGAAATGAGTGAGTAATGAATACACAATACAAAAATAGCATCTGTTACATTTGACCACTTTCTAAATGGCATTGTATTGTATTCACAGCTTTCTGCATTGGGAGCTTGTCAGAGGGGTACTCAAAGTACGTGATCTAGACTACCAGTTGTCGGACTTTTATTTTTGTGGAAGCCTCGATGGCTGGGTGGGTCAGATCGCTGACTTTGTGTGCTGGCGATTAGGTGCCTCACTCTGGCAGGTGTGGGTTCGAATCCCGGACAGGACTCAACCCCAAAAAAGTAAGAGAATCTGTACTTTACTAAGAAAGTGTTATCCCAAATATAGCATCTGTTACATGAGTGAGTGAGTATGGTTTTACGCCGCTTTTAGCAATATTCCAGCAATATCACGGCGGGGGACACCAGAAATGGGCTTCACACATTGTACCCATGTCGGGAATCGAACCTGGGTCTTCGGCATGACGAGCGAACGCTTTAACCACTAGGCTACCCGACCACCCCACATGAGACATATATACAGCACCTATTGGAGTGAGCACCTTGTCTTGATGGTGTGATGTTTGCGAATCATTTAGCCTATGAACGAATGATAAAAACAAGATGACAAACCCCCCGGCCCCCACAAATTTGAGAATTTGAGAGAATGTCTATCTAACGTGTCTGTCCATATACAAGAGTAGTATCAAGCTATCAGAACAATACCATGGAATTGGGATTCAGAAGTTTGTATTTCTATGTCAGGTACACACCACTACGAACAAAGTCAAAGTCAAACTTGTTGCCATGGAAACAGAAAAACAAAAATTCCAAAGAACCCGAAATACACCAGAGAGACACCAGTTGACAACCTCGTCTTTGTGTGTGCAGACTTTAAGAAAGAGTACCTATTAGTTTTAGAGATATGGTCCGGAAAAACACACCACTATGAACAGAGGCAAAGTCGAACTTGTTGCCATGGAAACAGGAAAAAATTGAAAATTGAAAATTCCCAAATAGCAAAAGGTACCACTTCACCCCATTATTAATACATGTACCAAATTTGATGCAAAATGTCGAAAATGTTTTATTTCTGTTCCGAAAACAACACCTACCTCCGTTTCAGCTAAGTACAACTTGTTTCCGGGAAACAGGAACAAAGCAAATTTTGAAGAATTCCAAAATCGATAAAGGCACCACTTCATCCCCTGGTTAATACACGTACCAAGTTTGGATATAAAATCTTCCATGTGTAGCGACCATAAAATGTCCGTGACAAGATTCGAACCACGGACCTTCTGATCCGAGGTCGGACGCCTTGTCCACATGACCAAAGAGGTTAACCCTGTCAGCAAGCTGACAAGGTATGGATGTCATCTGTGGGATGACTCCACGCCCTGCTACATACTCCCCCGTCAACAGAAGGCACGTCCCGGGCCGCATAGTAGGGTACTGAGGCTTATTTTGCTCAAATTTAATATGAACGTGCTCAGCCCCACGTTGGGCGCCAATGTAGCGACCATAAAATTTCCGAGTCCTGTGATGGGATTCGAAACCACGGACCTTCTGATCCGAGGTCGGACGCCTTGTCCACATGACAAAAGAGGTTAACCCCGTCAGCAAGCTGACAAGGTAAGGATGTCATCTGTGGGATGACTCCACGCCCTGCTACATACTCTCCCGTCAACAGAAGGCACGTCCCGGGCCGCATAGTAGGGTACTGAGGCTTATTTTGCTCAAATATTAATATGAACGTGCTCGGCCCCACGTTGGGCACCAATGTAGCGACCATAAAATTTCCGAGTCCTGTGATGGGATTCGAACCACGGACCTTCTGATCCGAGGTCGGACGCCTTGTCCACATGACCAAAGAGGTTAACCCCGTCAGCAAGCTGACAAGGTAAGGATGTCATCTGTGGGACGACTCCACTCCCTGCGACACATGGATTTTAAGTTCCAGAAACAAAATACGGACGAACAGACAAAGAAGGTGATGACTATATTTTCCTGCATTATATGCCGGGGATTGAAGTTTATTCTTCTGTTTTAATATCAAAAATACTTAAGATATATATTGGTCAGTTTATAATCTAGGTAGTTTGATTCCCATTACATTCCTTCCCAAATTATAGATTCTGTTCTCAAGGAGCGTTTCCTAAGCCACGTCGCAGCTGCCAGAGATCCTATATCTATGTTTCATTGTTCTAAGTTCAGGACTTCCTTCTCACATCCGGCAAAAGGATGTTTGTTTAATGTGTTTGATGCAATCTATCGATTTTTTGATATAATGCACAAATTTCCTGTCCTGCCAGATAGTTTTCCCTTTGTTTGATGTTAGAACCTACAGAGGAGGTAGCCTAAAGGATATCCTGAACATCTAACCATGAACCTTACATACATACAGGATATTTACAAAGTTATTATTTCTCGTGTTTGGGAGTGTCTACTAAACTACTTGTGAATAAGGGGCGGTCGGGAAGCCTAGTGGTTAAAGCGTTCACTCTTCACGCCGAAGACCCGGGTTCGATTCCCGAAATGGGTACAATGTGTGAAGCCCATTTCTGGTGTCCCCTGCCATGATATTGCTGGAATATTGCTAAAAGCGGCGTAAAACCATACTCACTCACTCACTCACTTGTGAATAAGTCACAATTTAACTACAATTTGAGGATCATGATTTAATTTGGGGTTTTGTTTGCCTTGGCGAGTGACTTGAGGGACAGATAATCCTCAAAGGGACACCATGTCCACAGTTATTATTTCTTGAAGATTTGTTTTAGTTTTAGATGCGTAGAACAGCAGCATAAATAAAGTCAGTATTGCTACAAGTATTTCATTAACAGTGTCCCAAGGCTTGTTACTGGTCCTCGGCAAAGTTGGTGCACGATGCAGGCTGAAATACTACTGTAAACAATATCAGCTGAGATTAAGCAGTGCTCTCCTTCTGTCCCAACTATGTTAGTTACAAAATGGGCGATCGCATATCAAGATCACAATGTGTGTGTGTGTGTGCGTGTGTGTGTGCGTGTGTGTGTGCGTGCGTGTGTGACATATATGCAAAATCATAACGTTGCAAGTGGTTTATACTGCTTCAAGAATAGTTCATATGGGTCTTTTTGTCAGAAGTCACTAAGATGTGTCTTAGCTAAGACAGCTTCATGCGTTCGTTCGTGTGTGTGTGTGTGTGTGTGTGTGTGTGTGTGTGTGTGTGTGTGTGTGTGTGTGTGTGTGTGTGTGACATATATGCAAAATCATAACGTTGCAAATGGTTTATGTCTTATGTGTCATCACAATCATAGGTTTCTGGGGGTGCCCAAGGGACGCAACTCTGCACAGCAAATCGCGGCGCCTTACACGACTGGGCCACTCGTGCCCCCTGCCAGCACAAAGACATCAATGTAATCCAGTGATTGAAATCATGAGCATCGATCCACACAATTGGGATCAATGACATGCATAAACCAAGTCAGCGAGCCTGACCACCCGATCCCGTTTGTCGCTTTTTACGACAAGCATAGTCACCTTTTACAGCAAGCATGGGTTGCTGAAGACCTATTCTACCCAGAATTTTTTTGGGTCTCAGCACAAAGACATCAATGTCAGCTTCTTACCGTTTTCAGTGTGTTGAGGATATTGATGCGGAGAGGCGTCGGCTCGTCGACTGTGCACATGTAGCCCAGGTAGAAGGGCAAGGTCAGCCACAGCCACCCACATGGCACCCACACAAGGAGAGTGTTCTGGAAACATGGCGTGAACTCGGGCCACCAGTTGTCAAAAAGTAAACTCTCATTCTGAAATGACAAGAAAACAGATGTAAACAAAATTAATTGAGGTGAGAATCAACAGGAGAACTGTCTCAAGGGAGACTCGTCAATTGGCAGTAGTAGAAAATTTGACAAAAGTCATCAAAAAACCTGTTTGTTGCCTGGATACTGAGATTGTACAAAATACATCTCAGTCGAGTCTGGACCAGACAATCCAATGATTGATATCATGAGCATCCATTCATGCAATTGGGATATGATGACATGCATCAACCAAGTCAGCGAGCTTGAAAACCCAGTCCTGTTAGTCGCCTCTTACAAGCATAGTTGCCTTTTACGGCAAGCATGGGTTGCTGAAGACCTATTCTATCCCGGATCTTCACAGGTCCACATTGTAACCATAGTTTCACACTGAAGCACATGTAGCACATGTCGTGTCTCACCCAGCAGTGAATGGGTACCAGGTAGGATGACATATTTTACAAAAAAAGCAGATGCTAAATGACCTTTATAAAAAATAATAAAAGGAGCCCAGAGACTCTCTTCATTTTGCTGAAACTGCAGTTTTTCCACGATTACAGACCCGCATGGGCAATATTAGATATATTTAATTCAGGGTCTGTATGACCGACTAGGAGCTCCCATTTAACAATATTGGCATTTATCATATAATGGGTACCGGTAGGTTTCTCGGCAGAAAAAGTTCGGCAAGCCTCAGAGTTTTCCCACTTTCATCAATCATGTTGATATATTTTATATCAAAAGACACTCGGGTGAGATTCTCTATGGTCTGCCTTGTGTGTTTCAGAAACGCGCCAATTTTCGTTTTGGGAGTAAATGTGCAGGTCTTTTGAAACACTTTGCAGAGACCAAATCTTTTGAAATCTTTTGGAAACCTTGAAAGGGTTACATTGGCTATCCAACTATGTTAAAATAAGCACAATGGTGTCGCGCATGCGCGTGCGGTAGCACCCTAACAGAGGCCTCTGACGTCAATTTGGACACCTTCAAACGGTTGTATTTCCCTAACGACCCATTATATGTTTGTCGGATTTAGTATCAAACGTCTCAGAATTTGAGGAGCTTTCCAATGAAAAATATAATATCATTATCAGAGATTGTTTTTACAAATTTCAGTCATCCTATTAAACATTACTTTGTTCACAGTTTAATCATATGAACATTCTATAAAGTAGTGACCTGCTCAGAGGCTGAATATCGGACAAGTCTGCAGTACCGGTAAATGATCGTGAAAATTCAAAGTGATCCTACAAATTTATGAAAATAAGTACATTTAAATATTATTTTTTTTAGCAATTTCACTATTTTCTCCCAATTTGCAGGGTCGGAAATTAGCACTTGTCCTGTAGTCCTTGCCAAACTGCCCAATAATTAAGGTATCATAAGGACTAGTAGAAATTTGTCACTTTCATAGATTTTGCTATATGTTCTCTTTGAAAGAACTAGTGGAATAAAACTGTCAGTTTCTACCACTGATTTGCTTGGAACAGCTTTCACTGAGAACTACAGAGACAGTTAGGAGAGTCTACTAGACTAATCGTGAATAAGTCACAATTTAACTACAACTTGTTGATCATGACTAAATTTGGCGTTTTGTTTGCCTTGGCGAGTGACTTGAGGGACAGATAATCCTCAAAGGGACACCATGTCCACAGTTATTATTTCTTGAAGATCTTTCAACTGTTTTTTTCACCAAAATAACATTCTAATAAGAGCCCCCTATTTCTAATTTTGAGAGTGCCCTGGGCGCTTATTACGTCGAATACGGTATGTGTGTTCTTAAAGCAGGCATGAAACAATTTCCGAGTGTGTCCTCACCACCCCGATTCAATTTTCAAACCAAAACAATAGAGCACCATGGCTTCAGTAATGTTTTTTATGAGAGGCAAATCGAATAGAAAGCTTGTGTGTTTTTCTTACGGATGAACGGGGGCACCAGTCGTCTAAGGCGCCGCTATTCGCTGTGCAGAGTTGCGTCCCTTGGGCACACCAGAAACCTATGATTGTGGGTTTGAATCCGGTTCGCCCCAATTATATTTCTAGGTTTGTCAGCACCATACCCGTGCTTGTGGGTTTCACCGAAGTGGTAAACGTCTTAGACCTGTATCACTTCGGGCTTTCCGTGATATAACTGGAATACTGTTAAAAGCGGCGTTAAACCCAACTCACTCACTCACTCACTCTTACGGATGAGTTACTAAATAATAATTGCCAGCTTGATTCTATTGGAAACCAGTGTTTATGAAAGCCTAGATAACAATAGAAATATACATCGGTTATTTGAAGCCAATCAATCTCCTACCCAGAGTTCCTTGTGGCCAGAGATATGTCACTTTGATGTGTAAAGCTGTATTGTCATGCACCCCACTGTCGCAGTTGCTGTAGTATGCTTTAGGCCCATCTGTTATTATTTCAGAATAAGTGTGTTTGTTTGCAAACAAGATTGGTTGTTGGTTGGTTTGTTGTTTAACGCCGCACTCAGCAATATTCCAGCTATATGACGGCAGTCTGTAAATAATCGAGTCTGATCAGACAATCCAGTGATTAATATCATGCGCATCGATCCACGGGATTGGGATCGATGACATGCATCAACCAAGTCAGAAAGCCTGACCACCCAATCCCGTAAGTCGCCTTCAAACAAGAGAAAAGTTCTGACACGGAATAAAGGGGCATTCACACGGTACAACTAGTTGTATACAATTTGTTGCATGCAACACATTGCATCGTGTGAGCGGGCAAGTCGGTCCAACTTTTGACGTATGCAACTTGTTGGACGCGAGTTGTACCAAATAGGACATGCTCTATTTTCATGCGACAAGTTGTATGAACGCAGCCAATCAAAACGCGTATGAAAATCATGTGACATTTACACGTCAATTTGTAAACAAAAATGGCGACTCCGATTCACGTCGGTAACCTCTGTTTTCGGTATCCTAAGTGTCACCACTCAATAAAGGACCTATGAAAAGTAGGTACGTAGAATACCACTGTACCAAATTATATATTTTGACATTTGCATCGATCTAATTCTCCTGGTTAACTGTTCATGGTGTTATCTGAAACGACGATGGCTATGTGACTGTTCGCTGTAGTGTAGACCAAGATGAGATAAGGTCCATAATACGTTTCTAAAACTTAAAATACATCATACACACAAATACACGTCACAGTTTTAGATTCTGTGGGAAAGTATCTATAATATGATGCCATTAACAACTATTTTAGCCAAAGCATATGTATCACTAACGACATCTGAAAATAGTGTACAACGAAAAAAATGCCATTTTCGCATTTTACCAATTCACTGTTCTAAATGTGATTATTTATTCAAATAACGTATAGCTACATGAGAAGTTCCATTACAAAACCATTGGGTGTCTGCTCTTTGTCAAAACACCAATCTGCATTCCGAAAAGACTCCAATAACCCTATATATTTGTTTTCGAAATATAAAAACTCTGGACCGAACCTCCATGTTGGATAGCGTTGCAAAATCACGGTTCTTTTCGCGTCAGGCGAGATGCCTGTCACATCACATGTATTTCACACTCAGCTACCATACATACATCTCTGAATTCATCATACCATTAAGAATCAATTGACATTTTGTCTAAGTCACTAATACAAACGGTCCAAATGAAATCAACCGCAATATTCAAGTGTGAAACCAAACCCTGCGCTCTGAAACCTACCAGTGGGCCTTCTCATTTAAAAATGTAAACAAAGCAAACTTCTAGTTTTACTTGACATTTTACTATTCCGAGAGATTCGATCGTCAATTTGTTGCATATATTAGCTCAGTTTATTACGAATATGCATGGGTCGATAATCGTTGCAAGAATTGAGGAATTAATAATTAGAGTCAAGATACTTATTTGGAAAAAGTCAACAGAAATCGTTCAACGTGCTGCCATGATTGACGCAAAATCACGCACACTGACGACGGTATTGGTCTGCCTTTCCACGTAGTATCAAGGCGAGAATGGAAACATAAAAACAAACAGAACTTGTTGATTTCAGATTGATTCTGATTACTTAACTTACATGACTCATTTATGTATGTATGTGATCCCAGTTACACGGTAAAACTACTCCAAACATTCCGCATACTGCTATCAGTGAACTCGCTAAGTTATGACGGGAGGTTACCGGTAGTGATGTCATATTAGTATACGTCAGCATCAACATCGTTGTACATATTTGTTATTTTCTTTGAGGTGCGGGTGAACTAGTACACAACGCATTCAGTTCATGAAGTAGTTTACTGTTTCAATCTTGAATTATAATTTGAATATCTCTTCAATATCGTTTCACCCAGCAAAATAATGCACTGTATGGAGTACTGTTATTAATATAATCTAAAATGCCATAGAATTTATAAAACTCATAATAATAATCAGCTGTTTGTTTGGTCATAGACATTCATCGTGTTATCCTTCCCATAAGATGCTTTGTAAATGTAACACACTGCAGCATATACATATTTCCTTTGGAGAATTGTGAAATATTCATTGTGGCAAATTTGTATAGATAGGTTAAATAAAACAGGCACTTCATTTCTTTAGTTAAAGTAAATGTATACCTGAAGGAAATTCGCCACGTTATATTTTTATTAATGTATAACTCAAGTGTGGACAACTACTTGTCTTACATTTGGATTTTAACGTTTAATTGGCGGTACATTGACAGCTAAAGATTGCATCAGGTGCGCGTTTCAAAATAGGGGCCGACCATTTGAGATTCATGGGTGGAGGTGGGTCATGGTCTGTTGGGGTTTGGGTGTGCGTTGCTGGGGGGTGGAGGGGTTGTGGAGCTGTTGTAGTGATAAGCCCAACATTCTGTTCTTTTAATCGAAATTTTCCATACTATACCCGAATATAATTGGTAATATACTGTTACTTTTTTGTGTTACCGATTCCAACGTTTCTTATAAATTGGGAAATAAGCTAAGGTATCTGATTTCAACTGGCCAAAGGGCACTTTCAGGATTTTTATAGTTCATTCTTCTATATCATAACAAAATCTGAAATATGTCTTCAGGACATTTTGGATGACAATCATTCAATGTCCCAGAAAAGGAACCGATGTGGTTATTAAAATCGATAGCTGTGTGGGAACTTTGTAGATACACATAAACAAAAAGATACTAGAATATATTGTCCTGAGCCAAAGCAGATGCTCACCACGGACATGACGGATACTGAGTTTTGCAATGACTAGGAATTGCGTGTTTTTTTTTGTCTTTGTACATGTGGGCATCGCCCTCGTGTTTTGACGTCATGTAACGGAAAATTTGTTTTCGACACAAAACAAGTACGTTTTCGTATCGAATGTGTCACGTTATACATTTAATTTTCCATCATGGGGTTAAAAATTCAATATTATACAAGTCCGTTAAATTGCAAAGTCAGAGGTTGGTCCAGTACCGCGCAACCGCAATTCTCGCACAGCGTTGATTTTTCAAAGCAATGCGTCTGAACATAAACTCGGCAACCAAGATTCCAGCGATAGTGAAGTCAATCACAAGCTTTTTGTCAGAGATCTCGCGAGACCCGAGTTGTATGCAACTCGCCGCCGTGTGAATGCCGAGTTGTATACAACTTTAGTTTGTGCAACTAATTGCATACAACAAGTTGTATACCACTAGTTGTACCGTGTGAATGCCCCTTAAGGCGACCAGAGCAGAGTTATCGGCACACCCCGTCGCAGTGGTGACTTAGCATTACACGACTGCTACAGGCTAATTTGCATATCACGTGACCCGACTTTTCTCTTGTTTGTAAACAAACACGCTTTTTCAGAAATCAGTATAGAACGGACTAATGCAAGTATTTGGGGGCGCTTTCCATATTGTTTTACATAACTACATAGATATGCTACTACAACTGCGACAGTGAGTTGCATGACAATATATATTTATGCATCAAAGTGACCGTGTCGCTAGCTCTCAGTTGGGCTTCGATGACAGCACGTGGAGCCGTACAACCAATGTAAACATAGGATAACTACGCCAAAACAAGTAGATTTTTACGTATTTGCATACTTTCTCAATGAAAGTTAACCATTCTTTGACATTTGTTAATGAAAATGTGTAGACTTGTCAAACATGAAACGGATGAAAAGCATATGCAATATCTTGAATGGACTTTGAACAGAACAGAAACATGCAAGTATTTTGGGGCGCTTTACATATTGTTTTGCATTATTATATAGATATCCTACTGCAACAGAGAAAGTTAGTTTCATGACAATACACATTTACACGCTTTCTGTTGGGCTTCAATGACAGCCGTACAACCAATGTAAACGTAGGATATAACTACGCAAATGGAAATATTCTTTTCACGATTTATAATATTTTCTCAATGAAAGTTGACCATTCTATGACATATGTTTATCTAGATATGTGGGCGTGTCAAAAATGAAACAGATGAAAAACATATGCAATATCTTGAATGGACAATACTATATATGCTGGTACTATATATGCTGGTCGCATGGAATTCTGGGTAGAAGAGTGTCTTATCGGCTATTGTTTACAACAGTCGACATCCTGTTCCTTTAATTAAAAGTCAAAAGTAGATCACTATATTTCGAATTGTTACTTTGTAAGTGTCTGAAATCCCATATTTGTGTTAACTTACATAACTGACATTACCATGGTGAACTATTTATAGCCCAGTGGCGATGTTACATAACTTTGGATTTATCAAGGATTTCTAACTAAGTTCACTTGGCAGGAAAATAGGAAATAAAGGTTATTTTGAACATTTTATAAAGAGGAACTTTATACATCCCGTTGGGATCAATTACTGACATTTTGTTTGCAGTATACATGGGGCCTATAATCTGCCTCTGAAGCTATGCCGTCGAAATTAATTCCCGATAACCCACTTTCTAGTTGGTTCTACAACCAATAAATGAATGAAAGTTCTGTCAAAAAGAACAACTTTTATTTGAACAGAATCTGCGAATGCGAAATCAAAATCAACCATAGATGTTGGCCCATAGCCTTGAGTATCGCCCGTCATTCACCGACATTGATCACCTGCGGCGAGACTGAGAGTTTAAGCAGAGAAGGATTTCAGCTCTCCGCGTCATTGTCGTCTACCCGCTGAAATTAACTTACAGTCTTTGTACTAATTTTGTTATGCGTTAGGTGGGTCAATTACCTTACTTTCCACACAGTTTGGATAAATGACAACGTGACGATAAGTTATACTTACAAAAATAGCAGAATCTCCACAAAACTCCTGGAAGCTCTCAGCCATTTTGTTGTTAATTTTTTTTGTTACTCCAAACCTGAAGAGTCATTTTCTGGGACGTTGAGGCCCTGTTGAGGTTAGCTATTGTATTGATGTTCGTTCCTATTTATAATTCGCGTTATCAAAGCATTTATCTCATCAATGAAACGTACCATCACATTAAATGTAGATATATTATAGAGACCTTCCAAAATCTGAGAGTTAGACATTTACCGTGCTTTATATATTTCATAGCTGTCAACCCCTGGATATCTATCTAAATGAGTGAGAAGCAAAGGGGGGGGGGGGCAAAACTGGTTTTGAATGATTTTAAGACCATTATATATATACAAAAATGAAGTGAATGTTCACTAGGTGCACATGTAATATATAATAAAATAATAAAGTCCACGTTAGACCATCATCTTCTTTATATCAGTTTATATATATCAGAAACTGATATAAAGAAGATGATGGACTATAACGTGGACTTTATCATTTTATTATTATATTTATCATTTATATATATATATATATATAATCTTTGGACTTTTTTATTTCTCTCTCTCTCTCTCTCTCTCTCTCTCTCTCTCTCTCTCTCTCTCTCTCTCTCTCTCTCTTCACGCATGTGATTTTCAAGAGTATATATTCCAGTTATGACGCATAATGACGCATGGGAACCACCTTCGAGGCCTGACAAAGGTGAATGTAATTTGTTTCAAAAAGGTTTAATATAATGTATAGATTAAACCTATTTGAAACCTATTTATAACAAATTGCATTCACCTTTGTCAGGCCTCTAAGGTGGTTTCCATGCGTCATTATGAAGTGCACGTTTTGTATTTGCTTGTCGGTATATGTACTTTAACTCTAAAATGACCATACTGTTCTTTTATACCCTGTATAAACACATAACATGGAGTTTTTTCCAAATAGAACTCCACTGCCATATAACATTGCGATCTAATATGTGTGTGCTTTTTTATGTCCTCAGTCGCATGTATAAAACACATGACGCGGCAAAAACATGGGTTTTTGCTGGGAATATAGCATTCATAATTTAATACTCTCTGGGTATGAATAACCTCAATTATTTCCAAATGAATAATCGCAACTCAAATTAAAACAGATGGTTCATGATAACCACGTCAACAACGCAAGGTCACCAGCTGTTCGTGTGAGGGTCTTGAGTGTCCAGAATATAGTAGTGTCCACAAGGGTCAAGCAGGTGTTGTGACCGGAGCGCTCCATAGATTAAGCTGACCGGGACAGTTAACCTCTGTTACACTTAGGAGAGTGTATTGAGTAAGTCGAGAGCTGACCTTTCGGACAGCGTCTGGCCATGGCGGCCTTTCCCACGACTTTGATCTGTTTAAGCCACTGGACGTTGCGCTTAAAAATGTCACAAAGACACACTTGAAGCCAACCGCAGAAGTTTGTTTGTTTGTTGTTTAACGCCGCACTCAGTAATATTTCAGCTATATGGTAGCGGTCGGAGAATAATCGAGTCTGGACCAGACAATCCAGTGATTGACATCATGAGCATCGACTTACGCATTTGGGATATACGATGATATGGATCAACAAGGTTTGCGAGCCTGACCACCCGATCGCCTCTTACGCCAAGCATACAGTCGCTTCTTTAGACAAGCATAACCGCCTCTTAGAACAAGCATGGGTTGCTGAAGACCAATTCTAACCCGGATCTTCACGGGAATGAAGTCCGAAGTGATGTAGGTTTAAACAGTTAACTCTTTTGTTGAACCAACGTTCTCACAACCATGAAACACAATATCAGGGTGAATCAGGAGATTCGAACCCATGAACACAGGTTCCTGGCAAACCCAGCAACGCAACTGTGATAAATGAGTGAGTGATTTGGATTTATCGCCGCTTTGAACAGTATTCCAGTTATATCACGGCGTGTCAGCTTAATGTGGGAGGAAAGTCCGAAGTGATGCAGGCCTTAGACGTTCACCACTTCGGTGAAACCCACGAGCACGGGTATGGTCCGAACCGGGATTCGAACCCGCAATCATCGGTTTCTGGCGTGCCCAAGGGACGCAACTCTGTACAGCGAATTGCGGCGCCTTAGACGACTGGGCCACCCGTGTCCCCTCTGGTAAATGAAGTACAGTACACTACGTTTATAACGAACACGCTTATAACGAACTGACCGATATAACGAACATATTTTTTAGTCCCAACCATTTGTTGTGTATATGCTGTATATATGCTAATAACGAACTACGGTTATTGCGAATTAAAGATTAGTGGTCCCTTTGAGTTCGTTATAACCGTAGTTTACTGCATGTTAAGTTCACAGAGTGAGTGTACCTGTTGTAACTGACCCACCTAGCTCTATCGCGCCAATACAAAGTAACATTGATAAAGATCACTATACAGTAAACTACGGTTATAACGAACACGCTTAAAACGAACTAACGGATATAACGAACTAACTTTTTAGTCCCGACTATATGATGTAGTTATGCTGTATATATGCTTATGACGAATTACGGTTATAACGAACTAAATTAGTAGTCCCTTTGAGTTCGTTATAACCGTAGTTTACTGTACTGATAAATACCGTTCAGTCAATGTGAGTGGTGGTCGATTTTATATTTCAGGTGTGTACGGTAAGTTACATTCTGCATACGAGTTGGTGTGCACGGCCGGGTCACCGCGTTTATAAATATACTATACAGCCATGTGTATCCCCTATAGAATCTCCTGGGGCGGTCGGGTAGCCTAGTGGTTAAAGCGTTAGCTCGTCACGCCGAAGACCCGGGTTCGATTCCCGACATGGATACAATGTGTGAAGCCCATTTCTGGTGTCCCCCGCCGTGATATTGCTGGAATATTGCTAAAAGCGGAGTAAAACCTCACTCACTCACTCTAGAATCTCCAGAATACGGCTGTACAGTAAAACCCCACAATACCACGGACCCGCCTGTCCAAAGGGTTATCTCCCCTTTGTCAGATAGCCAGCTGTCACTCGCTGGAGAAATGGGGCGAGGTTAGATAACACCAACTACAGTGGTGTTACAGTCCTAATTGGGTTGCACAGAAAAGCATATGGCATGTTGACCTGGGCCCACTTGCACAAAGCGATCTTAGCGCTAAGATGATCATAACTCCCATACTTTAACATTGCCTTACAATAGTCTTATATTAGCGCTAAGATCTGGCCCACTTGCACAAAGCGATCTTAGCGCTAACATGATCATAATTCCCATACTTTAACATTGGCTTACAATAGTCTTAGCGCTAAGATCGCTTTGTGCAAGTGGGCCCAGAACTTGTAATAAATATCAATATTGCTGGTCATAGAAGCTGCTGCACATTTAGTTACATTGTAGGATTCTGAATGTTTAAGTTGAATATTTTGTGAAGTTGTCAGTCTTTGCTATTTATTTTCGTAAATGACTATAAATTATGAGTAATAAATAAATTAACTATTATATTTAATGGGTCATTATTTCTTTCCGGAAAACTGAATTTCCGAAGTTGAAGTTTTCTACATTCCCAAAACGCATGTGATTTAGTTTCTAATTCTAATTTACAAAAGTTTATAGTTAATGTGGGTTATGTCATCAAGGTCTAAACAAAATTGTATACCTAAGAGTGAAAAGGGCCCCTGTTCCCAGTCCGTTAATTCCTGAACGTTTGGACCCTATTCATAAAATAGGTGAATGATCAGATTTAGAAATAGGTTCAATTTCACATTTTTACAACAGAGTATAGCAAATTATGGGATTTAAAAAAATATCATCATGAGCATGGATCCACGCAATTTGGATACGATGACATGCATCAACCAAGTCAGCGAGCCTGACCACCCGATCCCGTTAGTCGCCTCTTACGACAAGCATAGTCGCCTTTTACGGCAAGCGTGGGTTGCTGAAGACCTATTCTACCCCGGATCTTCACGGGTCTCTGAGTATTGAACGCGCTACAGTTCCCAGATCAATGAAACTTGAGTTTGAAGTTTGAAGTGAAATTTACAGCATGCCAATCTACAAAGGTATGGGTATAACAGGAACGACTTATTGTTCATTCACACCCAAACCGTTGGACAGCAGCATGCTAAGATTAATTACCCTACATTATAGCTAAAATGGATAGAATTATCATAAAAACGCCCCCATGTTATCAGAAATGAGCGGGCCACTGTAACTTGATAATGCCCTCATATTAATTGACGACGGGCCATTATCACGCCCGTTGTTAGGTGACGTCATAGGATAGGGATAGGTGACGTAACATTCAATAGTGACGTCATCTGGTTTGTTCTATGACGTTTCCATATTTGTAAAAGGGGGTCAGTGACATTCGTGTTGATTGCAGTAAATGTTTCAAATCGACATTGTTGTTTCTTTTTATTTGATAACAAATTCCATCCATTTTAGCTATAATAACGGTAACGCTATATTTCAGGGCATTATCATTTGCAGAAGCCCTCGGTCTTTTCAACTGCCCTCCTTCGTCGGGCAGTTATGGAAGACCTCGGGCTTCTACAAATGATAATGCCCTGAAAAATAGCGTTACCCATACTATGGCAAGCCGTTTTCACATTTATTACGGAATTACAGATATCTTCAATTGTTTTAAAGATATCGGTATTTTATTTAAAGATATCAATAATGATTTTAAGATATCAAAAAATAATTAAAGATATCTTAAATTCATTTCTGATATCCATAATACAATTACTGATATCTTAAAATATTACGGTGATATCAACAAACTAGTTTGTGATATCTCTAAATGTATTTAAGATATCATTAAACAATTACCATCCTACAGTACATAAATATACTAGAAATAAATTCAAGATATCTTAAATTCAATTCAAGATATCTTGAAATAAGTTATACATATCCACAAATGCATTAGAGATATCTTTAATTCAATTAGAGATATCTTTAATTCAATTAGAGATATCTTTAATTCAATTCAAGATATCATTAATTCTGACCGTTACTGATATCAAACATCCAATTAAAGATATCATTAATACTTTT